GCAGTCGCCTGACGAGTCTTCCTCGGGGGGCGGGACGCTCGCGGACGACCCGCCGTCCCTCGTGGAGCGGGTCAAGGCGTGGCAAAGGATGGGGGGGGGCACACCAGTGGCATGACTTCTGTCGCGCCAACAAGGCGATGGGGGGCCCTGGCACCGACGATCCCGCGCGCCACGAGCCTGACGTCCTCCGCCGGTTCCTAGCGCTCACATGGAAACGCCCAGATTGCCACGACTATTTCGAACTGGCCCTCACCACGATGAGCCGCCGTTCTCTTATCGAGCGCGTTCGGGGCGTCATTCGCCCGTCCCCGGATAGCCCTGCACAGTGGGGGTGGCGCACTATCGGCTACAAGAAGCCGGGCCGAGGCAGAGCCCAGCCCCACATTTCACCCATGCACGTCATCGTCGCTTTCATTCGTGCTCGCGCCGGGCACGAGAGGACGTCGACGGTCTACGTTCCCGTGGGCGCGGCAGCGTGCTGGGGCTCCCACCTACGCTGACCCGCTCCACTTGAGGCCTGGCGTGCCTACCGCGGCCCTGGGGGCCAGCCCGGCGTGCGGCCCTCCCCGCGCCGGGTAGTCCTTCGCCGCGCCATGGCTGCGGCACACCGGGCAGTCCTATGCTGCAGCGCTTAGCTGCCACACCGGGGTGCCCACCGTGCCTGGCGTGCACTTCCCCTCCTCTCCTCTTGCGATCCCCATGCTGCAGCGGTTAGCTGCGTCCCATGTCTGTCCACGCGCCTTCATCTCCCATTGCTGCAGCGGTTGGCTGCGTTCCGCCTCTGCCATGTTCGCCTGTTTCTCCTGTCGCACTCCTCGTCCGCCCTGCCCATGGCCTCCATCCCTCTCTGGGGGCACGCAGAGTTGTCCAGCACTTCGCTGACAAGCAAGACTGGCTCAAGCACCACAGAGTCGGGCAGTACGTCGTCGAGCAGCACCTTGCTGATCAGCACGACTAACTCGTGCACTACGGGGTTGAGCACCACGGAGTTGAGCAGCACCACGCTGGCCAGCACGACCGAGACCAGTACGACGGGCTCAAGTGCCACAGAGTCGAGCAGCACATCACTGACAAGCACGACCAAGACCAGCATGACTGGCGCCAGAACCACAGAGTCGAGCAGCACCTCGCTGACCAGCACGACCGGCTCAAGTACCACAGAGCAAGCAGCACCACGCTGAGCAGCACGTCGCTGACCAGCACGACCGAGTCGAGCACCACGGGATCGAGCACCGTTGAGTTGATCAGCACCACGCTGACAAGCACGACCGAGGCCAGTACGACCAGCTCAAGGACCACAGAGTCGTGCAGCACCTCGCTGACCAGCACAACCGAAACCAGTACGACCGGATCATGTACCACAGAGTCGAGCAACACCTCGCTGACAAGCACGACCCGCTCAAGTACCACAGAGTCGAGCAGCACGTCGGTGCGTGGGATGTCGCTGACCATCACGACCGAGTCGAGCACCACGGGATTGTGCACCACGGAGTCGTGCAGCACCACGCTAACAGGCACGACCGAGACCAGCACTTGGCTCAAGTATCACAGAGTCGTGCAGCACGTCGCTGACAAACACGTCCGATTCGAGCGCCGCAGGATCGTGCACCTCAGATTCGAGCAGCACCTCGCTGAAAAGCACGACCGGCTCAAGTACCACAGAGTCGAACAGTGCGTCGTCGAGCAGTACCTCGCTGACCAGCACCACCGAGTCCAGCACTACGGGATCGTGCATCACAGAGTCGAGCAGCACCTCGCTGACAAGCACGACCGTGACCAGTACAACTGGCTCAAGTACCACAGAATCGAGCAGTACTTCGCTGACCAGCACGACCGAGACCAGTCGACTGGCTCCAGAATCACAGAGTCGTGCAGCACCTCGCTGACCAGCACGGCTGGCTCAAGTACTAAAGAGTCGAGCAGTACGTCGTTGACCAACACGACTTGGACCAGTACGATCGGCTCAAGTACCATGGAGTCGAGCAGCACCCCGCTGACCAGCACGACCGAGACCAGTGCGACCGGCTCCAGTACCACAGAATCGAG